CTTTTGCGAAAGTGAACAACTTGTGGTTCGCGCACTCATATGACCTTAGCAGTTGCGAGCGCCGTAAAACCTTATACTATACTATACAGAATGTCTGGACTTTGGAGAGATCCGAAGGAAATATTATAAATGCAAGAAATTGCAGGATAATTTTTCCGTCATTGTTCCCAGCAGAATTTTAAATTTTTTAAAGGCCATTGGCCTTTATGGCGAGTTGTAGAGTGAATTTGATATTATTTTAAAATTTTATTGTTACTTAAAAGAGTTGTTTTAAATCACAAATGTATTTACACCGAATTTAAATATTTTAACTTTTTAGCATTTCAAAGTAAATTAGTTAACCAGTCGTGAAGTGAACTTTTGCGAAAGTGACCTTAGCAGTTGCGAGGGCCGTAAAACCTTATACTATACTATACTCTAAAATGAACTGACGTGACCCCTGGGTGGGTTTATGACACAAGGTGAGCACAGAGTGGTCAACCTTGATAACTAATGACAGTTGCATGAGGCATGCCATTTTCACTTATCATTTCATCGTGAGTCTACGCTTATTCAGTTGCCCCTCCTCTTTACTTGTCCAAAATTTATAACTTTCCGTCTCTAACCGTTACCCCGCCTTTGTCGTTACATACCATTATGTTATGAGTACACCAATTAAAATTCTGTCTCACAAATTTGAATGTAGAGACAACTGTTGCAATAGTCTGGGAAGAGTTCACGGTTTGAAGTAAACCCGCCTGGAGCGAACTTGTAGGCCCTCCCCATCCAGTGTGTAATGTAAGTTTAGGTGGACACCTCAGGTGTGAGTGCGATGTTTGGGGAAAACAAACACGTCAGCGAGCTCACATCTTGCTGTGATCCCATCTGGAGCAAACATTGTACCATTTCATCGAGTTTTACACGTACATGTGATCACATTCACAAGAGTGACTGATCTGTCATGCGATGGGAAGTTCAATGATCTCAAATTTTCTCTCCTGGTTGATCAGCTGTGCCCGCCCAGATTTTTGTTCCGTAAATTATGATTTGAAATGCGGGATTTTAGAGTGAATCAGAGTGGGATCTGAGGGGTGTAGTAAAAATTATGTTTCCTTAAAACAGCTGGACCTTATGCGAACCGGAATTGAAAGCGGTGGGATCTTAGGTGGACACTACTGTAGATGAGAAAGGCAAACTCTTCAGAATGTACATGTAGACGTTTTCAACACTAATGAGCCTACTAGGCCTGCCCCCTCCCCTTCCCCAAATTTTGAATATGCTGTGCAAACTTGTTATTACTCTTGAACTAGTTTACTAACAGTTTAGTCACGCTTATTTCACTTTTCCTTTGCAGCCTGAAAACTTGCTGTACGAAAATTTGGCAGAAGATTCAAAGCTGAAAATTTGTAAGTATTCACAAAAGAGAAACATGTTAAGAATGTATTTCAAAACCTTTTGTAGTTTTTACTGTCTAGTATTATAATGTACTTTTTTGACACTGGCTTAGCTTGTGTTATGTACCGCGTGCAAGATACAGTGGAACTGGGGTTCAACAAGGAAAAAATTGAATTCAACGAACACATAAATGAGCGAACTCGGGTTCAACGAAGTCACAGCATACCCTTATACTTATGATTAGATATCTACTCTATTCCAAGAGACCATCTATCGCACTTGTACCGTGGACATGCGTAGCAGGGTCTATTACCTATATTATATGCGTCCGATCAGAAGCCTTCTTTTACACTAATATGTGCGTTATTGACATGCGCACAAGACATGAACGAGCATTTCAGGCATGGAAAGTTGGCAGAGATACAGACGCGTCACAATCATTATCCACCCCCTCCTACCGGCTACTGCACAACGAAAGGGTAGTCTAGACACAGATGTAAATCTACGTAATGAATTGTACACTGGTCTGTGGAAACAGGCGTTTCCATGTGCTAGTTCCTACGTTGTGACAACTTGTTGCTCACATTGCTATATAACGAACTCTTATATATTCAATTAAATCTAAGATGAGGCCAGATGACTCGGACTTCGTTATATCTGAGTTATACTGTACAGCAGTGCGCTTTTATATCTGATCCTAAAACTAGCTTTAAAAAAAATTATGAATGCTGTTTTTCTTGAAAGTGTCTCTCAAAATGCTAAGTAACGGCTGGAATTGTATAATTTTGAAACAGTGGAATCATGTGCGCGTCAATTTTGGGGCCTGGTATCATCTAAAAGCTTGTTTATTAGTCCTACTTTCGATGCAAATAATACCTATTAGATCTTTGAACAAAAGTCAAGATAATTGTGATTGAAGGAGGCCGGGGTCGCCTGGCGTCAGAGGTAAAAGTAGCGAGCCAAAGTTTTGGTAACTTCTAGAGCTTGAGTAAGTAAGTAAGTAAGTAAGTTTATTCAGTGTTTAAGGCCATTGGCCCACGTCACATCACATAAAACACCCATTTGATAAGTAAAGTTTCCATAATGAATAAGTACAGGTTGTGCACATATCTCTTATCATGGGTCAAACATTGCATATTTCTGTCACTGGGCCGAGTCAGGCTGGGAGGGATTAACAATTTCCTTTGATAGGCAAAGCGTGAACAATAGAAAATAAAATGAAATTCATTTTTAATTTCATTGAGTTACACCTCTCACACGAATTTGTTAATTTCCACCGATAGAGATTGTTATTTAATGGAAGGCTATGGGTTTTTAACAAAGCTGTGCTCCAATACCGTGGGAGGTTGGTGATATATTCAGCTGTTTCTTGAAACGGAATTGTAAGAGAAAAAACATTATACTTGCGATAGACTTCTTCCTCTATATTCTGCACAGAATGATCTACAAGTCTACTTTTTACTTCACTGAGAGAAAACCAAGCATATCCAAAACCCAGGGAAAATAATAGATGTTCAACTTCCATAGCCCAGTTGACTCTGCCCAATTCACAGAAACGATATGTAACATTTCTTTGGATATCTGTCATTTTCTTAGTGTTTAAGTCTGCACCAGAATTTAATTACACAATGCTTGTAATCAGAACATAAGTTGGTTCTTCGCACTTCTCTTAGAACTAAACATTTTTGTGTAGTTTTGCCAAGACTTTACCTGAACATTATCAATCACGTCCCAATTTTTGGTACCCCTAATTTCAGAGCCATAAAGCAGCATTGGTTTAATCTTTATATAAAAAATGTTTTTTGCTGTTTCGAATTTTAATTCTTGGTAAGAACCGAAAAGCCTTGTTGTTCGAGAATCAATCCGCTGAGCTTTACAAGCTCGAGCTTCCAGCGTTCGTCTCCAGTATAGACGTGATGAAAATGAAATGCCCAAGTAACTATAATAGGTTACTGTCTCTAAGATCTTTTCCTCCCAATACCATCTCTCAGATCTTTTGAGACAGCCTCCATTTCTGAAAACAACTATCTTACTTTCCTCTGTTTTCACTTTTAAACCCCACATCTGGCAGAAATCCTATAACACATTGAGTTTCTTTTGTAAACCTTTTGACATTATCGTCAAAAAGACTTTGGTCATCGGCGTACATTAAACATAAAATACCATCATTATCATTGGGCAATACCTGTATAGCGTGGGTATTTGGATCTGAAAGATGTTTTTCAAATTGAGATGTAAACAAAGAAAATATTGTAGGGCTAATAATGCAGCCTTGTTTGACACCTGATGTACATTGGACGTATTCAGTAATATAAGATTTCATGGATCCTCGTTTATCTGAACATACTTTAACACATGAAAATGAAAGAACACGTTGATACATATTTTTTCAAGACTTCTCAATAGCTTTTCTCAGTCAACCCAGTCAAATGCTTTAAAAAGAGTCGACAAAACATACGTAGAACCAAGCCAGGCTTGGAGAAATATTTATTGGAGTGAAAATATATGATATGTAGAGTAATTTCGTCTAAAACCGGCCTGAGATTCAGGGATGAGGTTACCTTCATCACACCATTGTTGCAGTCTTCTTTTCAATATGAATGAGAATAATTTACCAAGAACATATATAGTAAACTAATGCCCCTATAGTTATTTACATCATATACGTTTCCTTTTTTTTAGTTATATCATAGACTTGGTCTTCTCCTCTGGATAGTTGCCTGTGAAGAAAACTGAATGGAAAAGAGATAAGAGAATTCAGCCAGGTTCTGGCAATCGAATTTATAAAATTCCGGCGATAGGCCGTCAGGTTCCAGAGCTTGATAAATAAATAAATAAATTTTTAAATAAAATATATAAATATATATATATGAAACATATTACCCTACGAGTTAAAAAATGCTGGTTTCTTCTGATTCACAATTTTGACATGATCCTTTATATTACGTGTAATTTGTTTCCTCATAACTTTAATTTTTATATTGTTTTTATCTCTTATACTTTTTAATCATCCATTTGATTCCAATATTTTCAAAATCTGTTGCACACATCATAATTTTGTTGCAATGTAAGTGCCGTAAAACTCTTAGTTAAACTGAGCAGATAAATGGTTGCATTTATAACTGAGTTACGAATGAATGTGTAGCCTAAGCAGCTGCGGGTGTAAAATGGGGAGGTAAGTTATCTGCTTTAGCTTTCTTCCTTTTCAAGATGTCCAAGAGCTCAGCTGTACCTAATTTTCTTTATAGTATATACTTCAATTAAGCAAATCTGAATAGATTTAATTGGAAATGTAAAACAATCTTTTTTATTTTTATATTTTCAATATGACCACTTTTGCCTTGGTAGCCGTCGATTTAAAAAAATGTAATGTAGCTTTTAATAGGTGCTTGCCTGTTATATATCTTCAACAAAAAAGCTTTACCTGGGGAGGTAACAAGACAGGTCGGAAAAACCACCCCTCACCTTCAAGAGGCTGGAATGTTTCTACCACCCAACCTGTTACCCGCGTAATCCAACCGCCCTTTAAAATTAACATTATATCGCCCAACTTTTTAGTATTCTTATCCATTGCTGCTTTGATAACTCAGCACAGGCTCTCTAATAATTTCTTGACATTAATGGTTGTGTCTGTCTTGTAAAACTGCATCTTCTAAATGACTAACCTCAGAATAAACTCTTTGTGTTTTTCGATATTATGTTATGTTTAGGTGGTTCAAGCTCACTGGTTGTTGTTTTTTTCAGCTGACTTTGGCCTTTCTTCAATTCTAAGTCCAGAGGTAGACATGACCTCTGTGTGTGGATCTCCTGGGTATACAGGTAAGTTTTGACAAAACTGCACATGGTGATGCATGTAATGATAGGCTACCATTTCAATTTAAAGTTCATTTATGTTCCTTCTTTGATACACAAGTGGCCGTCCTAGATATATGGCCATCTTAGCCAGGACTGATAAAAAATTAAGAAAAAACTCTTCCCTTCTAAGGCCTTAACTTGAGGTGGTCGCAGGCTTTGAACTGTCATAAGGCTAAAATATTTTTGTTCTTGTGAAAAAGGGGAGGGGGGGGGGGGGTTGTGCAAGGATAAAACAAAATTAAATCATTGTCAGACGAGGAAGACCAAGTGCCATTCTAAAACAAACAAATGGGTCACCACCATTCAGTCCACGATCAAAACTTCTGTCGCAAGTCCATTGTTACGAACTGGGTAAACAAAGCTACTGCTTATTTCACTCATGCCTTGTGCATGGTCTATTGTTGGCGGGGTTTTATCGGTTAAACCTCCCTCACCAGGTGCTTATAAGTTTTTACCAACAAGTCAACTTGCGTAAACAGTGGGAGGGATCTGCACAACATGGTAGGTTCATTCATTGGTGGGACTAACAATGAGTGGATTGTGACAGCTCGTCCACAGCATCAGGGCTTGGTAATATATATTTTATGACAAAATGTATGGCGATGAGAGATTTGCATGGCCATCTTAGACCGGTTATATTGGGCTCTTGGTTGATAAAATATAGTGGCCGTAGCAATTCTGGACAGGTTATCTTTACATAGTGTTGTTTTGTGAAAAAAAATGCGAGGTGGATATGGAAAGTGGCCATTTGTACAGGTGCCTGTGTTAATGTTATACAGGTACTGGTCATGGCAGGTTTGATCTTATATTTAAACAAATATATGTTCCCTGTCTGAATTGTGATGTTTCTCTGCAGCACCAATTTGTTCCTCTTTTTGGGCTTTAAGTTAGTGTTGTGTGTCTATCTATATATATATTATATTTGTGAAAGTCCGTCACATTGGCGCCTAAAACTTCGGAACCACTTAACTTTCGAATTTGAAAAGATTAACGGTGGTTCAGAATCATTTAAAGGGTGCACAGCTGTATTGAGGAGTCTAAAGGCGCTGTTGTTTAATTTTCAGCTTTTCATTAGTTTCGTTTAGATTTAATCTTGGGAAAGTCCGTCTTCTAAGACGACATTTTAAACAAGTGAGGCTTCCGTTCACAAAGAGTACGTGCACTGATCGCACAATGACTTGGCAATCGATTCTTTTGAGTTCGTTCATCGAACGGGAAACCCAGCTCTATCTCTATCTTTATCTCTATCTATACATAGGGCCTATTATATGTGTGAAAATTCGTCACTTTGGCCGCCTAAAACTTTCCAACCCATTAACTTTCGAATTTGTCAAAATTTATGGTGGTTCAGAATCATTTAAAGGGTGCACAGTTTCATTTGGGGAGTCTGAAGTCACTGTTGTTTAATATTCAGTTTTTCATTAGTTTCGTTTAGATCTAACCTTGGGAAAGTCCGTCTTCCAAGTGAGGTTTCCGTTCACTAGCCGTGCACTGCTTCCACTTCTTTGAAATTCTGGAGTGTACAACCACGAAAGTGGAATAGAGAATCAATCTATTCATCTATTATATATATTTGGCAACTTGGAAACACATGTGTCACTTTTCTCTGAAAATGTATTGCTCCATTGCAGTAGAGTGTAATTATAGTAGGCCAATGACTTTCAGTTGATGTTAATGCACCGATCATTCCTTTCATCGAAAGGGGGCCCAGCTAGTACTAGTATTATATATTCTTAGAGGTGTATACCCCCAATTTTTCTTTCTTTGTAAGAAAACTTTCAATTAACCGAAATGCTCACATTTCTAAATGGAAAATACTTTCAAGGGTTATGTCGGCTAAATCTTCACTGGCAACCCTCAAGTAATGTAAATTATAATCAAGTTTTGCACACTCCAAGATAGCGAAACAGGAGGTAGAGACATGAGAATGAGAATGCCATTGTGTCGACCTTTATCAGTGTACTGTTTGCCTACGTGTTCATTACAAAAATCAATAGGCCCACACATTGCATAAAGGCCTAATGAAGCAATGATAGCAAATGCACCTGTTGCACGACCTTCAGTAGTCTTTGCGAAATTAGTTAGCTCTCAGAGTTCAAAGGCTCTACACATGAGTACGTGACCACATGTGAGTTTTATGACAGGTAACAGTAGGTGTTGGCTTTCTCCCTTCTCTTACTAATGCACAGTTGGGTACAAGGATCAACTTATATTCGGCATATTAAGCAAGCTAGCAATATCGAAAAAAACAATACTTACAGCCTCAAGTTGCAGTTACTAAAACAGGCAAAAAAAAGGGAAGAAGAAAAAATGATTTTAAAAAGTGAAATTTGCTGCAAGTTTTATGCTGTAGACAACCATCCTATTTAAGCTCTTCTTTTTTTTTCATCCTGTTGCCGTTAAGGGTAGGTGGCAGTTAATATTTCTAACTTTGTTATTAACACATACCAGCTTCATTCAGAGTGGTCCAGGAGTTCAAAATGAAATTCAAATAGCAAAATATAATCTTTCTTTAATTTGAAAATATTTCATGCTTTTGGAGTACAGAAGCAATTTTGACTCAATCCGGCCCACGCTCTCGCTCAATCAGTTTATTGACAAAAATGCTTATATTTTCCCATAAGCACACTAACAATAAAATCTGTGATCCTAAATGGGCTTGTTTTGATACTTGAAACCTCTAAAAAGATATTGAGGATTACGTCATAGCTATAGCTTGACTATTAATTTTCGCATTTTCACATCAACTGAAGCAGTTTCGAAACTGCTTTTTTCAAAGTCGGTGAGAGATATATGAAAAAGCCCAGTTAGGATTACAGAAAATTCATTTTTACATAGTTAGGCCAAATATAAAAGAAATCCCCCACTTGAGTTTTAAATGAGAGTCCGGGCCGCAACCCATACCCCTTAATTTTTGTCGTTTTGAGAAAACTTGAAAAAACGTACAGATTTTGTCATAACTTTCTAACCGAAATAGAGGTTAGAGAAATGGGTACATTGAGAAATGATTAATTGTCTTTGTACAATTCAATTCATGTACAAAGACAATTAATCATTTCTCAATGTACCCATTTCTTTCATGCAACAGAGAGGTCAATTTAGTGGTAGTATTAACTGAAAAGAAGAAATATAGGGAAATTTGTCAAAAACATGCAACTCCAAGTTGCCAAAAAGAGGAAAACACAGTCATAAATTGCAGAAGGATTTCCTGGGCAGTAGAGACGTCTAATTTTCCTACTCTAAAAGATGGTTCCTTTCCTGTTTTTCTAAGCTACACCCTCTATGGCAGTCCCTTTTGATGCTACTGTCCATGGTTCGGGCTGAGACCTGCAATTTTAGAAACAGCATAAACGTCTGGGTGCTAAGGGCCCCCAAATTCCAGTCTGCAGTAGTGATAGCAAAAGCTGCTTCTACTCTTGGTTTGGTCACAAAGACCGTCTTAGGGCCCTTCAACCAGGTGTGAACTTTTATAGAAACTCCTATTCTATGTTTGTGTCACGCCAGGCACATACTTGATCTCCATTACCTCATCTGTGGTGCACAGGCTTCATAAATGAGGGGGTTTGAGGTGGGTAGAAAGTCTTCCCTTGTGTGATGGTGCTGTGCTTCTTTGGCCTTTTGTAAAAGTACAGTATAACACAGATAGTTTGAATTCGTTGGAACTCGGTAGTTCGAGGCATCCGTAGTTCTAGGGATCTGTAGTTCGAAGGATATCTTTAAAAGATCAAGAAAAAAACAACAACAACATCGGGACCGCAGGCACAGTTCTACTGATTCATGCGTGATTTTGAGTGGGCACCTGTCTGTGTTGTACTGTAAAAGCACCAGTTGTTTTCACTAGTAGGTGGGCATCTGCCATGATGTGGGTCACCATCTGTGCTGGTGCTGTGCAGCAACGTGGCCACAACTGCTTCTTACATTAGCAGTGGAAAGAGTTGTACGACCCCAGAGGTTTTGTGTAATAGGACTGGAGACATCCAATCTTCTCCTGGTTGAAAAGAATAGAAGAGAAAAAACCCTGTAAAAACCCATAAGAATAAGGATTTAGGTGTTGTTATTATCCTCTGCAGACAGAAGCTGGTAACGCATTCAATTGCAAAATTGTAATTGCAGACCCATTTAACACTCTTAGCACCAGGGGGTTATTTATGCAGATCCCAAGCACAAGAATTCAGCTGATAAAAGTCCAATTTCATTTATAACAAAAATTTAAAAAAGGACAAGAAAGCAGAATATATACCCTCAAACCCTGCGAAACTGCCCCCCTTTTTTACTAGCCTTGTTTTCCACCAGGTTTTGCCAATGCACAAAAGGAATGCCTTTATAAACATAGGTTACTATTTGCCCCCTATCTGAAATGTAGTCTGCTAATGTTAGTTTTCCCCACAACCCCTTCACTCTTGGCCACCAAAGGTGCTGCGTGCACAGTCTACAGTGCACACTACACACCAGAGACTCAGCAAGCCTTGGGCCTTGTGATAATCTCCCTTTCTCCACTGACACACTCACCCCCAGTGGGTCGGGGGGATATGAATAGACCCACTGCTTCGTCTGCAGGAGGTGCACCCCTTCAAAGGCGAGATGTCTCACACATACTCCAACCCTCTGGGATCCGGGTTCGACACTCACTTTGGTGTATCTTCTTCTTCTCCTTCCTTCTTTCTTTCTTCTTCTATCTTTCCTCCCACCGCTGACCTCATGTGCAGCAAAAAGAGGGGTCACCCATCCCACATAGTGGGCGCCTCGTTGACCGTGAGGTGCGACCAGTGTGGAGGGAAACCGGATACCTGGCGTTTGAGGTGAGATCAGTCTACGGACTCACCAAACACACCTCTTTGGCCCAGGTTTTCTCTTAGACGGGAGGGTGGGACGGCCCATGCCACTCAATCGGTTGGGAGTTGAAACAACATCAAGCCCTGGATCAATCTTGACGGGAGGGTCTTGTACTTTCTCGTGAAGAGTATAGCTCTGGGGTAACCCTGGTACAGCT